TACTATACACGTAATGTGCTGATAGTTTTGGTATCGGGGCAACTTTTTCCTAGCCATTGCACCTCACCAGGTGGGCTGGCCTCTGGGTCATGCCAGTAGCCCCCAGCCCCTATGCGAGTTAATTATATATTTGTTTTGTCACAACATTATATGCTCTTTCGTTTTCAAGAAAGTCTTGGGCCGCCGTATTAATGGCAGCGGAAAGAGAACTCAATCTTTCAGCAGGTCCATCTTGATTTCTACTGCCAGGTGATGAACCTTAGCGGGGCGGAAGAAGTACATATGCCACGGCCTGAAGAATCAGTAAAGACCCCAAACAGAAGGGCTGAACCTGATGTCTATCCTTAGCGACTGCCTCGATCTCATGTTATGCAGGAAAGCTATTAACAACTAAAGCGTTCTGGCTGTGAACTAATTGGAAAAGTTTTGTTGCAGAGAATCCCTGCCGTATCTGCAAAAAATCGTCTGTAAAGTAAACCCGTAATGCCTTCTCTAATTGTTCGATAGCCAAATGGACCCCTAATAGATGTGATTAGACGGGTCTGAAATGAGAACAACGTGACAGGGAAAAACAGACGCGAAAACCTTCTCCCACGGGCCTGCGTTAAAGCCCGTCCTTCCTTGCATAAATCTGGTTTCATGTCAGTGTCCCAACGTCTATCAGCAAAATTTGCCATGGATGACGCAATTTCCCTTCTCCGAACCTGTTTTCCAAACCGGATGAAACTCCGGACCCAGCTGAATTGCGAGAGGGATTGGCGACGTTACGGTCAAGTATCCCCTCAGTTAAATAGAGATTTGATGAGTAGCACGGCCGACTCATTGGTGCTCCCCTTGCAGGACCGACTACGTTGCTATGTCTGACGGGGAGGGTTGATCACGAAAAGCGCTGGGGAAGAAGCTCAAAAGTGGAGAGAACCTATGTAATAAGGCGGCTGCTTATTTAGTTATCATTTTTGTTACAAGTTCGCTTCGCCAGATAGACCTTCTAGCCACGTTAGTGGCCTTTGTTCCTTCTATGAGTTGAATGCATACATGTTCTGCTCGAGTACTGTGTACACTTTCGCCTTTAGGAATGTCTTGAGGAGTTACATTGCTTACCAACTACCTACACTCGATACTTGATTTCTATTATTTTACCCTTTATTACTTGTTGCAGAGCTAGTGCAAACGACCTATTTTTACGAGAGCATTTATTTTGAAATAAATAAAGCAGTAAAAGGGTAACTTTTTCAAACACTTTTTTCAAATCCAGGCAAGTATTTGGACGCCTAATAAAAATACTTTCAGACAGCAAGATATTTTGCAAAGTTATCTGTTTTGCAACAGTTTGTGACTTATCTCAAGATTTAAATATCCGTTTGAATTGTTGGGTTCTCCCGATGAGCGCTTACTTTTTAACGCGGCTTTTACGGACGAAGGTCGTTCTTTAAGGTCGTTCTGCAATGGAAGCCCTTGAACTCGCTGACATATTTCCTGGGTTAGATGACGAGGCCCTCGTAAGTTCACTTTATGCTATTTTTACAGTCCAGGGTTCACTGGGGATGGAAAATGCGTGGCCGGCTGACATTTTTAGTGATTTAACTGAAAAGGACCTCGAAGATGCTCTCCTTACGGACATCACTTCCAAGCCGACGACTAAGTCTGAACCCGTTGATGTGGATATCTTTGGTACTTTTATTTTCTGCCTTAATTTCCTAGGATTTGGCAATGACCTTGTTGTAGGTGATGAGGTTGAAGTAAATAACTCAAGTGACCAATTCGCGTCTTCATCAAACCACACGCCTAAAGGTGATTTATTCACTAACCAAGAGGACTTCACTCAAACCATCTCAACTGATACTTCGCCAGAGACAATCCGGCTCACTCCGGAGACAGAGAGCAATTGCTCCACTCCATCAAATTCCGATTCCTTCGCCACATCATTACAACTCTCTCCATCCTCCAAGAAGCAACAGCCGAAACGCTCTACCTATGGGGATATTGTGCTCGAAGAGGTACCTGCTGCTAAGAAATGCGCCTATGCATTTTCACCACCTATTGTGCCCCACGAGCCCAACCCGAGTGCCATTAATCGTGTTCACTACGTCCTGCAGAAGGGACAGACGCTCATCTTACAGACGGAAAAACCCAACAGTCGTATCCCACAAACTGTCAATCCACAGTCCCGTATTAAAGCACTCAATGGTTAGCTGACTATTTTGTATGTTTGAGACCTCTTTCTTCCGTTTAACTTTCTTTTCTTCCTTTATCTCTTCATTAGCGCATCCAACTGCGAATCAAACGGTCTTCCGTAGAGACGCCAACGAGTTCATTCGAATCAAACCACTTGCAGCACATCAGAGGCAATCTGTCGTTTACCCAGTCACTCCTGATTCTCACGCCAGTTCAGACACCGACGGGAGTCCGCAGTCTCCTTCTGACGGCATCGAACCTCGTGGAATGTTTATCTTCAATGCAAGGAATGGAGCCTCAGTCACGTCAACATCGGCCATCCGTCTCACTCCAGCGACAGGAAGTGTTTACACAACTACGGAAAGGTATAACGGTCCCACTTCCTATATCAGCCGTCAGAGCAGTGGTAGCGGCTATGGTGTCGACGTCAATAGCGATTACACCGGCGGATATGGAACGGGTAACTCCTCGGCGCCATATCGACAACAAACTATATTCCAAAGTTCGGTTAGTTTTGATTATCTTTTAAACTCACTCTCAGCTGCTTTTTACTTGTGTACTCCGAAATTCAAAATTTTTTCCACCTTAAATGTTGTAGCTTGATGATTCAAAATACCCTCTGTCGAGGTCTCTGAATTTCGAGATTCTAAGCTACCCAAAGACCGAATTGGCTGGTTTATAGATTATATATCCTGTGACGTAGTTTGTTTACATTCTTATGGCCAAATTCATATAAACACACCGCTGATTTGACCTCGATCGATTTAAATCGCTTCGCTACGTTGTCACGCAATTTGCATTTCTGGTTTTGAAGAAGCGAGAAAAAAATCCACTTCTACTAAAGCAAGTTGAGATAACTATTGAAGACTAAATGTATTTACTGATGAAACACGCCGTGGTTGCGAATTCTTGGTGTAGATTTATTGCGGTGTACCACGATGGCTAAGTAATTATTGCGTTAATTTCTTTGTTTATCATTAATGCTCGTTCTGGTGATTCATTGGTACGTGTAAGTAATTTCTCCTGGGATTTATCTTTTTCATGTCTGTAAGGTGCTTAGAACTGTACCTCAGAGTACCATATTTCTAACCATTAGAAAACATTATGCCCTGTAATTTTAGCACATTTAATAATGGGATTTGGTGTTACTTTTTATTAAGTGATAAAAAAACCAGGCCCACCTTTATTGCAATTTACCTCGATTAGTATAAACAGGTTTTGTAATCACTTTTAGTTTAAACTACGTTGGAATTTGCTGGAAAATAATCACATTTCTTCATTTTAGTATGATTGTCAAACCACACCTATTCCTGGCTTTCGAAAAACACTATAAACCATTTTTTTTCCCTCTGAAATGGAGTGTCTTTGAAATGATCATTCTTAGGAAAATAGTGGCCCACTAGGACCCTTTCGTGTGTATCCGACACCTACACGTTGAAGTTCATCATTTTTTCTAATACTTAATTAATTAATTAGTCAGTTTTCTTGTCATTTACGCTTGTTGAAGTCACGTGCTGTAGTTGCCCTCTCCTACCTAACCCCAAAGTACTTCCACTGTCTGGGGTCGCTGGCGATCTAGGTCAGTCAGTGGGTATTCTACCACGGTTTAAGCACTTGGTCAAGTGGTCATTGGCGTAAGTGATGCTGCGTCGGCCAGGTGTGTAGGAGCAATGCCCCCGCAAGGCATCACCGTCACCTGTGCGTGCGTGTGTGTGTGCAACCCACAAGTGCGAGGACGGGCGGGTGAGCGGTAGTTCGGCCGACTAGCGGCGCGTGGCCGTGCTTATCGATTTCTCCTAGCTGCACATGTACGCGCGTGCGTATGTGCGTGTGCGTAGCAGTTGCATTATCTCACCCACCGTCGCCCCTACCATCGTAAATGACTTGTTATAATGGGCAAGGGGCAATCCCTTCTGACTAAGAACCAGAAGATTAGGGCTCAGCATTCTATCGATTCTACTTCACCGGAACACCCACACGACCAGAAATTTAATTTCCTCCAAAACATCGTAGGTGGGGTGGTGCATGGTTCTACTTTCACACACATGCAAACAAGGTGCACTAGAATTTCTACATTTCCTTCGTGAGCTTCATTTAGCACCATGTCTGAGCCGCAAAAATTAACGGTCATCGTATTAGCTTATCTCTGAATGTATTTGGTTATCTAGGTGGCGTAGAAGTCTATGAAGCCAACTTAGTAACGAAGTCATTCGCTCAACAGGAATGAGGATGATTTAATGGTATCGAAGCCCCTAGTAGATTTCATCGACCGTAATGCGAATATTGGGCGAAATTCTGCTGCCATCCGAAGTGTTTCGAATCGTCAAGTGGGGAGTGCTCATCTTAACCTCATCAAAGTTGGACATAAAGGTTTGGCCTCGGCACTGCCAGTGTAGGGAACGTCTGTTTTCCCCTTTTTCACTCGAGTTGAGCAAAGTTTATGAAGACGGAGGCTAACCAGCGTTACTCCCTCAGCTTGATTCCTGTTACAGCCTAGGAGATCCTCAGATATCGGTGATAGCTTGACAGAATCTAATCTTAGCGTTAGATTGCCAGACGATCGTTTTTGATGGTGTTTCTGAATTTCTTTTATCACTTTAATTCTTTCTTAGTTGTAAAGGTGGTGGGATTTGAGATTGTGTATTTTCCACCAAAAAACGCTCATTTATTTTTCTACTGAAATGAATTTTACCCACCTACCCATTTGGCTTCGCTTTCCAATTAAATCTTACTCCTGGTTCGTCATTACCTTGAATTGGTTGGTGTTTGCATGAATGCGTGGAACTGAACATGGACCAACTACGTGTCTACAACGTAGTCGGAAGTAAAAGGAAAATCCTGGACTTATTCATGAATCTTATTTTTTTTCTCTTCTCGTTCTTTCTACAATGCCCAGGAAGGCGATCAATCTCGACCCTTTTGACACGTTTTTTGACACATCCAACCTATCTTAAGCCTACACGGTGGCCGTTTGCTCCAATTTTTCATTAACGCTAAGATGTATTTGGCCAGAGATGTTATCCGTGTTTGAGTAACAACGTTTTACTGGCTATTTACTCAACCCACGTCTCCGGCTAAGCCTGACATTTTGACCAGGCTTCGTTTGACGAAGGGATGCCAATCTTCTTATCAGATGGCTCACAGTAGCGGCGGTAGCCATAACCACCATGACGGGGTCATGGTGATGACCCACGATGAGCAAATCTCGCCCGCATTTTATTCGCCACCCACCCTAACTTCTCATGTTTTTTTACCATTTTTCAGGCGGGGATTCTCGTTTTAACGGACGAGGAAAAGCGGACGTTATTGGCCGAAGGCTATAGCATCCCAACACGTCTCCCTTTGTCCAAACAGGAGGAGCGTAATCTCAAGAAAATTCGTCGCAAGATTAAGAATAAGATTAGTGCACAGGAGAGTCGGCGCAAAAAGAAAGAGTATGTGGAGTCCCTGGAAAAACGGTAAGTCGGCTCTATCGATGCATTTACTCCTACCTGAACAGTGTGTCCTATTTTGTCTGCGCCAGATTGGCTAGTTGAAGGGCCCGTTGTGTGCTGCCTAGTAATCCCCTCTATCCCCTTTTTGCTTGTGTTGCCCTAGTTTTGTCGGTGCAGTTGTTAGTCAGCAAGGCAGGCGATGGAAGCATAGCAGGACAAACAAACTTGGCTGTTGCCGTCGTTTTGTCAGTAAGGTGAAGGGGAAAAAATTGTCTCAACCAAGTAACAGTGCCTGGGTTTCCATTCAATCAGCTATTCCCTCGAAATGTCGCGCATTTCATCTACTTCTGAGGGGGGTGATTTGTTCCTTCCAGTAATTTTGACCATCTCCTTTTTCTCTCTCACAAATCCACACTTTCAACTTCTTCTAGGATAACGACATTCCTAGATATCGGTTGTTCCTCGATCACGTAGTCTTCACATTTCCAGAATTTCATGGTAATTTATCCTCGTCTTTATGTATTTGATGAGGAAAATCAACACAAAATCACTTAGCTATTAGGACCGACTTGTCTTGTGAATTCTGACGAAACTAATCCATTAATATCCCGTTTGGATCAACATTGAAAGAACTGCCATCCTAGACTACTCTTACCCTCCCCAATCGTCTATCTAGAGCGTTATGGTTTTCTGTTGAGGTGGTATATTGCAATCAGGCATTTGCATTTCATCTCGTGAGTTTGTTGTGTCTTGTTCTTTTGGTGCGGTTGGCTTTAGAAAAGCATCTACCCACTCATCCACCCAACCACCCGGCCCTTCAACACAAGCACCTACACATGCACTCGCCCACCTAAAATTTCACTGCTACGCAGAAATCCAAGATGGTCCACTAATCGTGCAATTCCTGTGTGCAGTTTTGGTACACTTTAGAAATTTGCTCATCCAAATCTTGCTTTTTGCACCACCCCTATAACTCTATGGAAGCCTTTCCATTCCACCACAAATTTCGACTTATTTTGACGAAAAAAGAGGGATTAGGGTCCATTTGAGAGGGCATTACTAGCACTCTTGTGCTAGTGTCAATATTAATGTGTTTACTCTACTTCTACACAATTGAACTGGTTGAATGTGTGTCCAATGCGTTGTGTAAACACGCCTACACTTAGCTGAGAATCCAAGGCCGAGCTGAACCGCTTTATTTGTGGAATGATGGGGTTGATAATCGAGAAGGCAGACGGGAAGATGTTAGTGAAGGTAAAACGTTAATTGGTGTTTTGACACACACTTAACAGGGTCATATTCACTATAGTTTCACTAGGACTAGCATATTCGTCGCATGTGGGAGACCAAGCTCTCTGCCATACTAATGAGTGCGGGGCGCTCCACACGTCCACTAGGTTACGGAAGGGTCCTAAAACTGGTTTGTAGACTCCGGAGAGTGGCAATTGAAGAGGCTGCTCCTGTTGTGTCTCCCGTGGCTGTCAGGCGGTCGATAGGGTAGTATTATGGACAAAAGTGATGGCTTTAACCAGAAAAAACACTTATCACATTAAGTGGTGAAGTCTACAAAGTCGGAATTATTTGTGATTAAAGGATTCGTAACCAATCAGAGCATAAAAGTCTTCAAACTGTTTGTTCCCTTTTTTTACAAATGGACCACTTTTATAAACAGAGATTCGCACACACGCACCCACTCCCATTCTCTCACATCCTCTGACGATGAAAATTCAGTCCCTGGGATACCACTTGTGAATGGGAGTGTGATTAATGCCACACAGCTGTGTGGGTGCTGTCTTGATAACTTAGTAACGGCATTCCCCAAGCTAGTGGATAAGTGGGAGGTGGAGGCATTATCAACTACAAGTGCTTGCGCTCCATTCAAAAGCAGAAATAAATGCAGTATCGTGCGATGGAGTCATGCTGCTGGGGCCGGAATTAGAGGTTTTCTTTCAGCAGGCAGTCTCAATTCTCTAGCCGACGCAATACGGGCCATCCAAAGGCGGGATCAAAGTGCGAACGCGGATGCATTTCATCTGCCGTTTCCGAATGGATTGAAGGATGCATTTATTGGATGGTGCACGCTCTGTACTTTGCTCGAGTGGTGGATTTTAAACAAATGGGGTTTTAATGTTCCAAATGAATCGATCCGTTGTGTCAATAGCAAAGCAAAAAGTTACCCTCGATACTGTTGACCTAACTTGACTAAAACGACCTGGCAGGTGGAATTGTATAGCCTCATCGCACTGCGGTCACTTGAAGGTATCAAGAACAGATGAAGGTAGCATTCTATTAGAGGTTCTTAAACTAAACCAAGGCTAGTTTGTTTAAAAACGGTTGAAGGGAACAAATTTGTGAGAGTTGAAAAGTTCCCTACTGCATCTATCCCTGAAAAGAAGCTTCAGCATGGCGAATACATCTTAGGGTAGCCTGTTTCCCCTCGTCATCAGTCGGTGTGTACCAAGTGTTCAGGTTCGTTGATACAGAAATAATCGTCTCTGGTGTAATTTCGCTACGCAACGGTTTTGTTTTGCGTCGGTTAGTTATGAAGGCAGGATTAGGTTTTCCATGCAGCGAATTGAATATTTACGGGCATATTTGCTGCAATGCTGGGGTGAGAGTGGCAACACCACGGTCGAGGTTACCGCCTTTGAGCCGTCTGGATTATTTTAAATGTTCGCCTGAACATGGTTGAAGTCTTGTTTAGACATCTCTATTCTCGGATGTGGCAGCTTAATTTACAGGGCGTCTCGTTTATCACTGCATCCTGTTCTGTGTGTACGCGCTGCCGCTGTCATCGGCATTTGTCGATTAAAGTTGTCTGGACTGGCTTTTCCACAATATGTGGGCCGGATATGACTGGTGCATATGACAGGGCAGACTTGGCATCCACAACGCTGGTATTTAGCCATCATACTGAAGGCGGGAAGAGTTTTTCTGCCATTTCTCCCGTCTTTTTCCTTACTACTTCTTTATGTGGGATACGAGAGATAGTCTTGTTTCTGCTACCCAACGCTAAGAACCGAGATGGAAAAGTAAAACGCCCCCAACCTCATCAAACATGTTTTCTGAGGTCAGTAAATGTCATGCGGTTGATTCTGGATTAATTATGCAATAGAAACATGTGACTTCACCACCTTAATATCACGATAACTTCTATTTTTTGCTGTGAAGGCAAGGAAAGGGAGTCTCCAAGATTATGGACTTATCAAGGTAGCTTCTTTTCCTTGTCAAACTGAATCAATTCGTAGGTCATCCATTTCTGATCTCATCACCGGTCGTTTGCATGATGTGCAACTCCTTCAAGTTGCTGCCACTCCTGATGCATTGAATGTGTGGCTTTGCAATAGCGAAATGTATGCGCTCTCAGTTCTTTATCAAAAGACGGTTCAAATATCGCTGCCTTCTCAGAGGCAGGGGAAAGAGATATCATGTGGTGCTTAGCGAGCTACTTACGACGGAGTGCTGTTTTTAATGCCGGATTTACTTCTGGGCGCAGAATGAGAAATATGCATCGAAAAGTTCCTTTATTTTAGATCTGACGGGCCAGACGCATAGGTGGTTTTATTTGGAGGCTAAAATGTCATTAGTCTGTGAGCCAAAAATGAAAGCTAAACAATGATTTTTTTGTCGCACCGAAAGGACCTCCGAATCTCGTAAATTGGAATAGGTCACGTAGGTATGCCACCCCGGGTTTCTCACCTGAGCCCGCATGTCACACATGACACGCAGTAAATCAAAGGGAATTGAATTGGATCGGCCGAAAAAGACAAGGTAGAGAGTGAAAACCCCTAGGTTGTGGGGTTTATTCGGTAGCGAGTGTACTCCTTCTATATCGATGGCTTTTTGTGTGACCGTCTGGCCAAAAATGGAAGCCATTTATCCTTCTATGTTTTTCGCTGGTGTGACTCATCACAACTCACTGATCGTCGGATTCGACCCGTACTTGTCAAACAATTGGCGTGATCTCTCCGGCTCATCTCTACGGGTACACAAGCCTTTGGGCTTATGTCATCGCACTGGCATCAATGTGACATTCCAGTTACCTCAAATTTTGCTGTAAGATATGCGAGTCTGGTGGTATAAGGTAACCACATGTGTTCGTGCGAGTCACGAGTACGCGAATTTCACCTATGTAAACAATTTTTTCTCTAGAGACAAAAACATGCCCTCAGTCACCTTGTTTCTGACGCGCTATCCCCCTCTCATCCCGAATTGGAGATATTCTCACGAGTGAGCCGCACCGCGTAAGGTTCTCCGGTTGAATAGTTCTGCCTGCTTCTGAAGGCTAATATCTCATTCAGCAACAAGGTCTTAGTGAAAAATTTCGCCCACAATCCACTACACACGGTGTGAGGTGGATAGAGTGGACGGTTTGAGGATAAGCCAACGATTTTTCTTGCTTCACCCAGTAGTGGTACGCGTGAGTAAACAGGCTATTCTCTTTAAAAGGCAGGACTGGTAAAGAGCAGGTGAATAATTTGTGTTTGAGACACCCACCTACTTAGGTTTTGTGACATTTTTAGTTGATTCATGTGCAAGTGATATGTTTCATCACCCATGTGAAACATCGATGACACTCGCACAATTCTTCATGATCAGGAGCAAAGGATCTTCCTGAAGCTGGTTTATTCACCTTCTCCAAAGGCTTGACAAGCTTTTACAAGCTTCTACGTCTTTGAAAACGAATTTAAATCCGTAGAGCAGACGGGCTCGACCCACACGCATTAAGTTCAGCGCATCTTCGACGGGCGTTAAAAAGAGTGGCGAGCACAACAAGGAGTACCATACCGATAGACTAAAGCTCCACGGAAAATTACACAAGTTTTTTGGTCACCTGAAAGAATCGCGGGATTGGTAACCTAGGCGACATAAACTGAGGTGCAGCCACCATCATTTACTGTTCAGGGCGCCTTCAATGTTTACTTCTCCGCACCGGTCACTAATGCGGATAACGGAGATAGCATCATCGTATACAAAAATCACCACGGCCGTATGAGCACTGTACTTCCGGTGCTGTGGTTACCTAGTTTCTTGCTTGCACCTGGTGCAACCTGGTAGCTGGATGTACAATTTCAGCAATGTTCACCACCCCGTTTTCACACTATGTGCTTTAAACAGTCGCACCTTTACACCTGTTGGTTCTTGTAAACCCTGCATCCATGCTCAGTCGTCTCTCCCCCAAGGTTTTTCAGCCGTCTACGTTTTGTACAGTCAGCTTTCAAGCTAGAAGCATACCTTACCTTCTGGAGATGTTTTGAGAGGAGTAGAAGAGGCGCAAAGTCGATTTAGTGCTTTGGAGTTTGTGGAAGAAAGGAATGAAAGCCAAGAAGTGAAAACCACACTTGCACACTAACTTCAGTTACCAGAGAACAGTTTTGGCACGATCATTTGGGACAGTACGGTTGAACTCTTCTAGAACCTTCTGTCTCACTCTGTCATTGGTGTGTGGGATAAATTCCCACGTTTCCACCGTTCGGATTACGATGCAAAGTGAGGCACTCAGGTTATTTCTCATGTGTTGATGCGATTTATAAGACTCTCTCCTTCGTCGTTAAAATGATCCCCCAATTCGGTAAAGTACTCAGCTCTTTTGTACTGGACAAAAGCGGGAAGCTATCTGCACAATTGTTTGATTAGGCGTTGGCCATGCGTGTAGGGTCGGGTGCTCCACACGCTGAATTAAATGGTCTCAGGAATGGTTGCTGTAGTGGTAAGCTGGAAGTAGAACCACCATGATCGGGATTACCACTGACCCTTTCATCGTCCTTGAAACGCTGACCTTCTACAAATGAGCGGCTGAATGTCCTATCACGTTCGCCTTATGTGTGCTATCGCCACGGTAGCACCCCTTTTTATCGTAGTAACATCAAAAGTTCCCGTTTGACTTGGACGCCCGTCATGGCGTCGAGTGAAATGAGTGGAGGTCGAACCGCTAGAGAATGTAATGTTGCCTTGGCGTTACAGAGTGGAGGCCTACGCTCAAGAGAATGCAGATTTAAAGCGCCGGTTGGATGGTTTGGAGGGAACAAATCGGTCCCTTTTGAGTCAGCTGCGTCACCTTCAACAAGCGGTGAATAAGTCTTCCTTCGCGTCTGCCAATTCTACGTCCTCCTCTTCTTCCTCGCCACCACCATCGTCAGTATCACAAAATTCCGGTCCCGCCTCCTCCATGGGTTCCAAAAAGTCAACTTCTCCTTCCACTGCCCTATCCTCCTCTTCCTCCTCCGCCTACCTGATGGTTTTCTTAGCCTGCTTTGCGGCTCTTTTTGCCGGTCAACCTGATGCCTCCACATCAACATCCCCTGGCTCCAGGTCATACGTCCCCGCATTATCCTCATCTTCCAAAGCGCTAGCCACTTCTGGCCACATTGTGGGCGACTTGTCAACATTTGGCTCGTTGCATCAGGTAGGTCCCGTGAATTTCTGAGGACTTACTCATTCACAGTAAATACCTTCTTAATTCAGCAGTCTTCGTTGAAACTTAAATAGAAATAGTCATGTTTTACGAAGACGCAAAAGTCGTCGGACGTATCCCACTCTGTTACCACTAGTGCAGCGTCTGATTCTTACCCACAGACGTCGCAAAATACACGAGTCTAATTAAGTCGAGAAAAGGCCTAGCATTCACTAATTGAAGTCTATCATAGATTGGATACACGTGGACGGCAAGGACGCAGAAAATGGGTCCACGATTAGATGGAGACTACGCTCGAGGACCCAATGTGAGTTACATGCGAGAAGTAACGAAGGGAACCGCTTCCATCTACCGCATGCATGAGTGGGCCCGCACTGCAGCCTACTTCAAGGAGGAGCAAAATTCACAAGATCAAGAGGCGGTCCGTATCAAAAGTCCAGGTGAGTTTGGGCCTCCGTCTCTCATTGGCCATTCAGATGGACAAAGGCAAAAGTTCGATAGAAGTTGGCGTTAATATGGACTAAATTCTGGGAAGTAATTTTGCAAAAAACAAACATTAATTCCCTGCTAATGTATATTTTTTAAATACTTTCTTAAAACTACATGCTGAATGCGAAAACTGCACGTTTTCTTGGTACACCAGCACTAATTTACCGACAAATTGCCTTTTCAGCATTTCGAAAATCAGCAATTTTTATAAATCCTATGGAAGACCTCTCCAAACCTCAGTCTGTAGAATGTTCTCTTTCTTTCGACTCTTGCTTTTCACGAATGTGGGCCTTTGGTGACTTGGAAGCCGGTTAATCACATAGGCTCTTTCAAGGTTATTGTCTGATGAAAAAGAGATCACTGAGTTCACCTCTTGTTTATACCACGGCTTGCAAGTCAATACGGAGACTTGATTGACAACTTTACGTTGAGTGTTATTAGCCCATTCAAGGTCTCTTTCTCTGCGTCCTTCAAGGTCTACCCGACGGTGAACAAAATCCAATGTTGACATTAATTGTAGGAGTGTGAGAGCTCCTGATAACCTGAAAGGCGTGCAAACTCTTGTGTGAGCGCGTCAATACCACAAAGTTTCTCCTTATCGAGTGAGTCTTCATGTGCTTTAGCGATTTGTGGTGCACTTCATTGGAAAAAGCGCCTCCCGGCTCCGTGGATTCGCGCCTCGGTGGGTCCGATAGAACTTCGCCAGCATTGTTGCAGAGCCTTTGTCAAAGCACTTCCAAATGCCATCTTTTAACAGTTCATTAAGTGAACCAATTGCTTCATGAGTTTGCCCCATAAGTGATGACAATGAGACACTAAGTGTTGGAGATAATCCACTCTTCCAAAGTCTCTGCTGGAAGCAAGTCCCCATAAATTGCTCAGTCGCACGAACTAAGCAAAAGTCAGCAAATTCCCTTACTGTCTAAAATAGAACAGTTAATGATTACTTTTAATTATTGTTAAATCGGCGAGCTTCTATCTCACCTAGCAGTTCCCCTCAAAGAGCTAAGAATAGCAACGACCAATCCGGAGAAAAACGCTTGAGTGGGTGGATCTGAAATTGATTTAGCTACCTGTAGACCAAATACTTGCCAGGCGATCATGTTGCTGTCCCTTTTGGTGGTAAAAAAGTGGTGCCGACAGTGAATAGGCTATGCTAGTATCCTGAGGTTTTTGCTCATTTCGCAACAGTTTACTATCAACTAATCCACTTACTTGTCATACACTCATTGTGGTACAACCTGAAATAATCCATCTTTTGACACAAGTACCCAAGTACACTGGTAATCCGATAATTGATTACCACAGTTTTGACAACTCACGTACCCAGTGCAATCGATCACCAGTTCCTTTGTTCTTTCTCCAATCTCGCAGTGAGCCGGTCTCGCATTTTGGGCTCTGCAAAGGACTTCGACGAATGCGAGCCAATGACATGGTGGGAGTACTTCTTCGGCCAATCAGGCGCTGAGTGTCGTGACGACAGGGAGGCCACCAAAGTGATTGAAAATGACCCCCTTGTTAGAACCAACCGACTTGTCAATGCGGTCAACAGCACAGTACAAAATCAATTTGTCCTGGCAGTAGTCCAACCGAAATACGTTCCTGGACTGGCCAACGGTATTCTGCTGTCGGCATGATCTTCCTCCAAATTCGTATCCTTCTATCTTTTAAGCGGAAAATCCCCGTCCTGCCCAAGGTTACGTGGTCTTTCAGGTAACAGTCAGCTACTTGAGGGAGTTCCTATCTGTCACTGTATCGTTCTGTCCTGATCTCCCTGTGCTTGCGTGTAAAGTATCCAAAAGCCTAGTCCGCTACCTTGGACATGAACCGTCATTTTTGCTGGTAATTTCAATCCTCCCTCCTTGTTTTGCATTTAACTTTTCCCAAAAAGTCAGTTGATATGTTTTTAACTCGAATCGTGGTGTGGGTATCGTCTTTCCACTGTCTCTATCCTCTCGCTGCTCCCTCTGCCCTTCCCTTCTTGCTTACAGTGCTTATATTTAATTCGTTTTGTAAAGTGGGAACGCTCCGCCCTTATGTTTATTCGTATCTTCATCATCATCGACGTTATAATCTGTAATGTATTATTGGTAAAGGCATTATTTTCATTACCCATTGTCAATTTCGCACGTAATCGGGAAATAAGAACGCAAGAATGTCTACTGAAATTTTCCTGTGGTCGTCAACGGGTTCGCAAAAATTCACGGGTGAGACAGTCTTACTGCCGCACGTCAAAAGCTAGCCAACACCTTTTAATAAGTTTCACTTAATTACCAAGTCGTGATGAGGATAAGATATTTCAGCACAATAGCACCGGCTAGAGGGCAAAAAATGCGACTCAAGGAATCAGAAAGCAGAATAAGCTCAAGTTTTCTCACCACAAGGCAAGTGATTCCAGGAGAGATGGAGGGAAACCCAGCCCTTTAAGATGGTTTAAAAAGAAATGCGATCCTGCCTACATCAGTGGGGTCATTCGGACAATAAAGCAGACCTAGCTAGGCAAAGAGAGAACTGGTTTTGCGTATACAAAAATAAATTCAGTTGGGTGAAAATGTTTATCAACGCAATCGTCTTCAACTCAAGATTTAAGACACCAAATAACCAATCATGCGTCGACTGAAAAAAAACTTGCACTCAGAGTATACTTTGGACTCTGTGTGAGTTCTTCAAAAGCGCCAAATAGTTTAAATAAACTTAGAAGCTACTTCGTGATGTTCGTGACTTTTTCAGGAGTACGCAGGGCTAGTTATTGGAAAGCAAGACTAGTCGTACGGATAATCAAGCAGCCATCTTCAAAAGATACGAGTTTAAGGCGATTAAATATGAAGAAACGTAGAGGGCATAATACAAGCTGAAACTCTGACACAAGAAAATGACTGGGAAGTGTGGTCGTTGGTATTTACTTGGGGTTCGGGAGTTTGTCAAAAGACTCATCCAAAAATCTTCCTTGGCGCACGGCATTTATGGAGAAGAGATCTATAACCAATCAACTAAGGATACAAACAGGAAATATTATACCCTAGTAAATAGTTTAGAGCTTTATAACTTTGACTTAGAGATGTGAGTCAACAAATACACTAACCACGAAATACGGATTTAGTATTTAACGAACCCACACACAGTAGAGTTTCAAATATTAATGAGAACATCTACACGAAAATAGATTCCGTCTTCTGAATTCTACTGATGAGAAACTTATAAGAAGTGGAAATGTAAAACCGTACACGTCCGATAAAGGATACAGGAGCCAACAGCGAAGGCAGTCGCAGCAAGAGCCACGAACGTACTTTTGTTTTTCCTGGACTTGTAAGCAGCCGCTCTACGGAAGTTAGCAGCTTCCGTGTGCTTCACAAAGTGTTGTAGCATTTCATTTCTCAAGGTATTTTGGGGCATTTTGCGTACCCAAATGAGACCGCCCTGAAGCAGACTTACCAAGGTGGGCTAGAATGTACGCGTGAAACAGAAGAGGGATAAGGGGTTAAGTAAACCAAGGGAGGAAGACCAAATTACCTTTAAAAATAAACGAAACCAAGAACAGAATAATTATTTGAGAAAGTGGAAATTAGATCACGATAGTATGATCAGGGTGAAAATAATGTAATACTGAAAATACAGGAACAAAAGGGATTAAATAGGGAACTCGGAAATAAACAAGGAATGCTCTCCTTCATCCTTGCGCCTGTTAAAAAAGACTTTGATGGAGTGTATATTTATAGATCCGGTTGGGACTTAATTAATGAAAGTATTAACCTGTTTTGTACATTAGCATACAAGCTAATTCGTTGTGATGTCCCTTAGACTAAGTTTCATTTAGTGATAATCCGTTTACCATTTCCCTTTAAATTATGATATGGGAATGAGTTGTTGTGTCAAAGCAATTAAATTACCTAAATAGCTACAATGGAAACACAATTTTCCAAACCTGTAAGTACCTGTTACATTAATTCGTGGATAGGATTTTCATTTAACAACAAAGGCTGGGATTATACTTTAAAGAAAGTTGACAGCACCAATGGCTTAGGGGACCAGCGAGATATCGTCATTTTCAAATGTTTGAGTTGGTGCAGTCCCTTCTCTGGACCTGTATTATGACCTGAACTTTTCGGTCACAATTTATTGCTATTACCATTAATGCCTTATTAAGGCTCAATTTCGTTTGTTTAGGGGTCAATGGAGAAATGTCTAGTCCCAACTTTTAGAAGGACTAAATGATCACAGTTGAAGGTCGCGTTGGGTATCGCATGATATTATTTTGACTGGTTTGTGTTGTTTATATCGCCTTATGTTGGGATAAACTCTTCAACTTTATTGTTATATTCTTGTCCTCGGCCCATTTTTTCTTTGTTTCTTGGATCCTCCAATCATATACTTTATAATGTACTATCGTTGTGTGCAAAGTTCACTTATTATCACTAAAGTACTTTTTTCAGGTACGTCCTTATTTGCTTCTGAATGTATGGATAGGTTTCATCTTCTTCGTGTCTTTGTAACTTGTTGGTTTGACGCGTACAAGTTGTCAGACTCTAAATTCCTTTCGTAACTTTAGGCGCGCTTGCTCTCTAGCATTCCCAAATCCTGATGACGCAGTCAGCGTACGCATCCCCCATTGACATTTCCAGTTTTACCGACCTCGTAGTGGCCAAAGAGGTTAATCAATCCCCCCGCGATAAAGTTATCGAGTGTGCATTCGCCCTAGACATCGGCGGCTCTCTGGCCAAACTCGCCTACCAACACACTTTTCGCTACAAAGTCTGTGTGCCTAAGGAACTCTCGGACCCTCATTCCAAGCGTCGCTCAACCATCTGCGGTCCCTTTGAGTTCTATGACTACCGAGAGCACGAATATGAGGGTCATAAACTTTGTTTTACTAAGTTCGAGACGCGTCACATTGATGCCTGTCTTGAATTTATCCGTTCCACCATCCTACCAGCCTACACAGACGTTGGTAGAGAATCCATGCGTCTAGTAGGTCGTGTTACCGGTGGTGGATCTTTTAAGTACATGCCAAGTATCCTTGAGAAACTGGGAGATGTGGAAATCGAACGGGAAGATGAGATGGCCTCCCTGGTGCGAGGATGCACCTTTTTGCTGCGAAACATTCCTGATGAGGCGTTCATCTACGATAAGAGAGCCATGCCATCGCAGATATTTCTTTCTTCCTTCATGGTGAACACCGCTCCCTTCCTCCTTGTGAACATTGGGTCAGGAGTGAGTTTTCTCAAGGTAGAAGCAGATGCTTCCTATAAACGCGTAGGCGGTACTTCACTGGGTGGTGGAACCTTTTGGGGAATCGGAAGTCTTCTCGCTGGTGGTGAGTTGTGCTTTTTCGCTCCCATAATTTATGAGCTCTGCTTCGTTTTCTTTTACAATTTTTGGCCGTTTTCTTCCTCAAAGGCAGAGAAAAGCCACCTTTTCGTCACGCATATGTGTATTGAAAGTGAGATATTTGCATATTTTGTTCTTATTACCGGAAACTATCCTCCCATGGCTTAGCGGTATTGAACGGCTACGAAACCGTCACCCATGCCTCAGTAATTGGCTGGTGGGATTGAATCGAGATCCATCCTAATTGCCATATAAATGAATTCGAGCTTTGTCGTGGTACCTTGAATCATCGTAAATCATACAGTTATTGGAGGTTCGCTATTAGAGTATTTAAGTACTGGGAGTCTATAGGCATGCTTGAAGGTCCATCCCGCTAAGATGGCATTAGGACTTGCGGAGACTGTCGAATCCGCGTAGGCAAATATGTTGTTTGACTTCATTATTATGCATTTGGGCAGCGTTTGTTGCATTGGTTCATTCAGTATACTTGTAGTATTGTAACCTCGTTAAGGTTGGTCGCCTTCTCTATAACGTTTATGGGCAGGCTGATGATGAAGTAGTTTTATCTGTTGCATTTTAATATGAATTTGTATTTTTAGGGAAATGATTATTTCCACTGGTCCTGGTTTACTGTATCACAAGTAGGTGATCCTCTCCTTTGCAGTAAATATTCCCTACTTGGAACTAAGTCTAAGATTCGATGCTTCTCCAGTTAATTAAAGTCTCGTGCACATTCTTTACGTGTTGTCGCTTGAAAGGAGTATCTTATGGTTCTACCATATCAAGCTGTCGGGCTCGCTTTTACGTCCACTTTTGTCTAATTGTTGCGTTTTAGTTACACTCAATCTTACCGTTGCTTTCTTTCAGTGAATGATAGGATGAACATCCCTTGTGTGGTTTATGGAAGCTTAATGGATTAGGTATTTAAGTAGTGGTGCCATTGTTGTTCATTTAATAGACTTACTACGAGGACCTCAGAGGAGAATCAGCCCACAATTCGTGTTTTCTATTCAATATTATGCAACTCCAAATCCATGACAGGCAGTTATCTTTTCCAGACTAAGAACATCCTGGATCGTTTTTGTTGTTTGAAGCCCAATCTATGTGGTTGCCTTAGTCAATTTGTAGCAACTGGTTGACATGACCTGATGAAAAACACGTCACATACGTGGCTCGCTTCTAATAAGTACGATCGTACCCAATATATTACTTATCTTGTGGATTAATAGACAAGTATGATCGCTTGATTAGTAGTGTCTGAGCCAAGCTCAATGGTCTCTGTTTCAAACAAAAGTCTAACCTCGCTTCTGCC